ATCTTAGCTCCTTCCATTGGTACCACAAAGGATCAGCAACACAGAAGCCATGAATGACACATGACCCCCTCTTCAAATGGCTGTTTCACCTGAAGAGAAATACTTCTCTAGATGTTACTTCTGAGAGAACACTCAGACCTGTAGGCACCTTGAAGCACCTGTAGGAGCTGAGTGTTGGGGTGAGGACACCATGGAACAGGGACTGCTATCAGGCTGAAATCAAACAATGTTACTGAGCACAGCCAAGCGTAACTAGAGCTACAGATGACAGGTATTGGAAAAACCAAAAAATTGCTTTCAGAATGGGATGCCACAACAGTTTCCCTCTATTATTTAAAAAGACCAATCGTTAACATTTTCACTCCTGACAGTTCACTGGCAGCAGCTAAAGAAGAATTAGAAATGGGTGGTTTCACAAACTAAGCAGGTTTTCGTCCTCTGTGGGAAGTGTGATAGTGCTAAGGGAAGTAATATCAGACTCCTAAAATGTAAGGATGGGAATACCAAGCAACTGAAGTGGGCAGCCAAACAGATTTATTGCATCATGTACATAATCTTACACGAACCTCAGATCTTAAAGGAGTGCTAATGGAAAGGAGAGAAGCGAGTTTCTCAAGGCAATTCTTAAAGCTACTTTAAATCTTCCAGCCAGTGACTGGAACGATGGCTACTCCAAGTAGTAAAAATAAGTGTCTCTAAATCAACTGGGCAAGCGTTGCAAAGGCAAACAGGGCATTTTTGTGGTGGTGGTGGTGAGAATTTTTTAAGCCTTCAGATAGAACACTGGCTGGAGTCTTTTCTCTGCACTCGCTGGCCAGCACTGCACTGAAAAGCAGCTGTGAGTTACAATTTCAGTCAACTCCTCACAACAATTCATCAAAACAAACTTTTGCTTGGCAATTATTTCATATGAAGTGAAGAAATACCTAATAGACGCTGGCACCACAAAGTTACACTACTGTGAATTACTTCCTGTTTTCCCAGCACGTTTGAGAATCATTCTTCTAATAAAATTGTAAGATTCTTTGTGAAGCACAGAAGTTCTGTCCCGAGCCTTTTTTCCCAGTGTACAATAAAGCAAATAAATCATAAAAATGCCACATATTTTAAGGGGCTGCTATGATGCAGATTTAAAAGGACAGTTGATTTTCTTAACTCACTGTTCCTGTCTAGTATCTATATAGCAGTAGTATCCATAAGAACATAATTTTAAAAACCCCAACGACTCATTATAACACTCCTATATTTCAGATTTGATGTTACAGAAAAAGAGAATTTGATGTTGCTGATCTAAACACTAAACTGTTCTATAAAAAGCCTGTAATGCCAAGCTCACAGATCTGAAATTTAAAGAAATAACATACACAAATGCAGTTTAGTGGAAGATAACATACCATAACTTTGTATTTAGGTCCCAACAGGTTTTCCCACTTGGATTTCAGCTCATGTGCTGGAGGGAGTGAGACTCTTCCTAAAAATGGAAGTGAATATTAAATTTACAAGCATATTGTACATTCAGAAGTGCATTTAACTCTAAATACTTCAATAAAAATTCAGTGTAAATAAAAGATTAGAGGGAATAATCCCAAAAAGAAAAGTGCACTAAGCTGAGTCTTATCAAAGAATGCAAATCAAAAATGTCTTTTTTAGGGAAACAATGCAAAATGCCAGCTACTGCTAACGTGTGATTTATTCAGCTGAGAAGCAGAAGAGGTGATGCTTGCATTGATGAGATGCGAGTTCTGCACCATATAGTACTGTAAATAAATCATTCTTTCAGGCTGCAAAACAAATCTCACACGACTTCATAATTTGTTGCTATAAAAATGCTTGCCATTCCAGGGAAGCAGCATCTCCCACCAAAATGAACCCCCTTAAGAAGTAAAGCACCTGACAAGATATTGCTGTTATCAAGAGGCTGTGTCAGCACAAAGCAGTCACAGACTTTATTTATATATTTGGCAGGTATAAAGGCTTGTCTAGTTTAATTAGGCCAGTAAGTAACATGAGCTTTAATATAAGCTCCAGTTCTAAACCACTCTTCCGTGGGAACTTGGCTATCTTGACATTCATATCTTTTCAGCTTTCTTACTTATGCAACCAAGGCAGTATTACATTCATGTAAGACAATTTGACAGAGCTAGACAGCATAAAATGACTGGCTGCCCTGCATTTGACCTCATCCAGAAGCTCAGTGCACATATAAAGTTCCAAGCTGAAGCAATGTTTAACTGGTAAGAATCAAGCTCTAAAGCAAATTCCATCTAGCAGCTACAGCAGCAGCAACTGGGGGCTGAGATACCAAAAACTGGTGGTTTTTTTTTTTCCCCTGAACGACTGTAACAGTTTGTCAGATGTCTAGACAAGGCACAGACCACTTAGTATGGCTGATGTGTCGTGCTGAAATTTAGAATGTAAATCACAACCCCACATTTTGCACACAAACTAGTGAGTAAAATACCTCAAGGGGGGAATTTTGAAGACACCAAGAAAAACTCAGAGCCTCTCTACTAGCAAAAGCCAACACAAATGGGATGTCAAGCTGCCTCTGCTTTCAACACCTTTGTAGGCCGCAAAGATAAAACATGAGCTTTGTGACACAATTCTCATTTACAGCATTTTCAAACTCTGAAGTTTTCTGCTCATTAAAAACAAAGTTTTAAGTTAACTTACACAAAGCCATAATCTGTCTCTGTAACTCTTTTCCTGAAGGAAAGGATTCCAGCGATTCACATAACCACTTTCTGTCTCCAGAAAGAAGCCCCACCAAGAATAAAAACTTGAGTTTGTAAATACAGCTCACAGCTCTCTCTGAAATAAGTTATCTCCTTAAAACAAAAGGAAGGCAAATTGTCCCAAAATTCCCAGCTAGGAGTTAAGAGGGTTTTTTTTCTCCATTGAAATTCAATTGACGTTTCTAAGGAGAAGTTGTCCTTGTGAGCACTGTTATCAAGCACAGGCTGATCACTACCTTTACTCCCCAGCTGTAGAAAAAAGCAGAACATCAGTGCATTTTTCTACTCCTTCTATCTGCAGAAATACACAGGAATAGAAATTCTTTAGTCTCCTCTTCTGCTATTACAAAGCTGCAGCATGAACACACACGACCAAAGCACCTGCAACCTCCCATACAGCCAAATACAGACTATAAGGTTCACCAGGAGTAATGAATCTTAGGGTCAAGCTTGGAGTTCTGTTCAGTAACTGTAGCTGTGTTCAGTTGGCTGAATACAGATCTTTTGTCACTCCCAAAACACATTACCAAAATCTATGAGTTGTTCAGAGCAGGTGCTGATGCACATCTCCATTTGAAGTTTCCCCCTTTTTTTTTCTTTCAAGTACACTTTAAAGTCTTCGCTTGTAGCCCTCAGAACTGTGGAAACGTTCTCCAGAGAGATCTGGATTAAGTATATTCAATTCCAATGGAATCACCCAATTCACTTAAAATGCTCCTTTTTCCCCAAACAGCCATTTCGACATGGCAGCTAGTAGGAAGTTTGTTTCTAGTCTCTTATACAGCTGGATTTCCCATGACCTAAGTATGTCTTCTGCAACGTGCAAGGCCTCAGAAGTGAAAATGCTTCCCAGGGACAGCTTTCATTAGCAACAATTTCAACATATTTAGCCTGTCCTTCTGCCTGCACTTCCATGCAGTTCTCCATTTCTAATTAGCAAGCCTCAAGAATAAATCAGAAGTGTATTGTAAAAGTCATCCTTCCTGGTCAAAACTGCCAACATCTTCAAAACTGGGATCTCTTCTTCTTGCAATTTCCTCCTGGTTTCTCAGCCTTGCTACACAAGGATGTGTACTGTGCTCTAGCACACTTCATTAAGGCACTACCTTTACCTGCCCTGTTGCTGGATATTCTTCCCCAGCCATCTCTAAGTGCCTGGCTAGCATCATCATATCTTTAGGGTTTGAATAGTGCTGCAAGGCAAAAGCAAGCAGTTCTGCCCAGTCTGCAGTCTTGCAGATGCAGCTGGGAAGTTAATTGCCTCTACCCTGCTAGCAGAAACTTTCAGGCCTCGTGCACATTGTGTCCTAAACCATGCTGCCTTTGTAACAGAACTGCTTAAGCATGGTTTTGCCTGGCCAGAATTATTATTTAATACGTCTCCAGGAAACACAATTTAATAAGAATTTCACACAACTGGGCTTAAAAGGAAGTAATACATATTTTATAAAACATACCTTTTGCATTAAACTTCTAAAAGCATTTCCAGAGTTTAGTCAGACCCTTAAATTAACAGTATTTACTTTAGCACCATTATAATGAAGTGCCAATCACCATGTCCAAAATAAGCACCCATCGTTGGAATTTAAACTTGGCCATTAAATTCTATTCCAAGGTGAAATCTTATACGGCGTATTTCAGTACGAGTAAAATTCACAGCTAAGGATTTCAACTTTTTAACAGAGATGCACACACACATTTTATAGTTGCATAAAGCTTTTGCAGAACGTTTTAACTTAAAGTGGTTTTTCACTAGGAAAACCCCCATTTTAATCAAGAAATGACACTTGCTTGCCACTGCATTAAATGCTCCTGATTCATTGCTCTGTTTCAAAGCTGTGCCCGTTGCATTATCCCACTGGTCCAAGAGGAGCAGCACTGCTAGATGCTGTCAAGGGCAACATCCAGCTGGAAACACTGTTTAAATTTTGCTGCCCCAAGACACGCTGTGCATGCAAACACATTATCCTGTATCCTCCAGGGTAAGGGGAGCTTGGATACATGGAAGAATAGAAAAATCTCATAGTGCTCTTGCTAGGTGATGCACTGGGGAGTACAGTGCAGATGCTGCACGCTGCCCCTGCAAGGAAGCAGCACAGGTCCAGCCAGCAGCTATGGACTCCAGGCAAGGAAATCCCTGCCAGACCCATGTGCATCTGCACCACACTCCACAGGGCTCCAGGGAAGGGGATTATGAGATTTACACAACGCTAGAATTAAAGGGGAGCCATTCATATACACACAGAAACAGTGTGGCCAGCAGGACTAGGGAAGTGATTGTACCTCTATACTCAGCACTGGGGAGGCCATACCTAGAATCCTGGGTTCAGTTTTGGGCCCCTCACTCCCAGAAGGACATTGAGGAGCTGGGGCATGTCCACACAAGGGCAATGAAGCTGGGGAAGTGCATCTAGAGTATAAGTCTGATGAGGAGCAGCTGAGGGAGCTGGGGGTGCTGAGCCTGGAGCAAAGAAGGCTCAGGGGAGACCTTCTGGCTCTGCACAGCTCCTGACAGGAGGCTAGAGCCATGTGGGGGGTCAGGCTCTGCTCCCAAGGAACAAGTGATAGGTCAAGAGGAAACAGCCTCAAGTTGTGCCAGGAGAGGTTTAGGTTGGATATGATGTAAAACTTCTTCCCCAAAAGGGTTGTCAAGCCCTGGAACAGGCTGCCCAGGCAAGAAGTGGAGTCCCTATCCCTGGAGGGATTTAAAGGAAGTACAGATGTGGTGCTTAGAGATACTGTGTAGCAGTGGACTTGGCTGTGCTGGGTGAACAGTTGGACTCAATAATCTTAAAGGTCTCTTCCAAGGAAAACAATTCTATGATTCTATATACCTTGGTTACAAACTCCTTTTGAAACTAAGAGCTTTGGAGTATTCACAGAGAGACTGGGGATCCACATCAAAGCAGTTTGAGTCTACTACGAAAAAAGGGCTCAAAAATACAGTTTGATCCAGGCTGATTATCAGCAGAACAGAGATCACTAAGGTGTATCTAGATAACACATCCTGAAACTAACAGAGTTTGTTAACTTCAAGCCAAGTAAAAGCAGTTTTAGTTCCCAGCATGAACTGAACCTGACATTGATACACCACATTTGCCCAGCACTAGGTATTAGGTAACAAATTCCTCAGAAAGTTGTCTTTGCATCAGGGCAGACATCTGCAGCCCCTGACATGAAATAACCCAACCACAACTAGTCTGGAACTGGCTACAGAGATATTGTTCACTTCAGTAGAAAGAGAAAATACTTTATGCATAGAAAGTTCCCCAGTAAAAAGGGACTGGGTCTGTGACACAGGACAGCATGGGTCGCTCCTTTCCAGCCTCTGCCACAGTGAGTGCAAGTCCTTCTGGCTCTTCTGCCCCTAAATACATCCTGCTGCTAAGTCCTTAAGTTATTAATCTGTTCTAAGTAGAAATCAATATATGCTTTTCCATTCATACAGATAAAATAATGCTTTGATTACCTCACATCTCAGCTACTTAATTACCTCCATTTTGGCTTCCTACTTCTGGGAGCATGCAAAAGTCACAACAAAGGATGTCTGGGTTACAAGGCTTGGACAGAAAAGTAAAACAGAATGGAACATAGGAACTGCTACATTTCTCTCGTTTCCAGGTTGTCTTTAATACTGACAGATCTTCTGCCATCATAGCAAAATTGTTATTCGCTGACAGCCGTAATTTAGGCTCCTCCATTACATCTACATATCTTAGAAACTACAAGGCATAAGGATAATTTATGCTGACTTTAACACAAACTGCAGAAATTCACCCAGAAGTTGCTGTAGAAGTGCCCAGAAATCTGTAGGGGAATTGAAGCACGCCTTCTGGAGAGACCTCCAGCCTTGATTTAGAACTCAGCTAAAAACCAAAGGAATCCAGGCTGCCTTTGTGACCTGTCCTTATGTCTAACTGCCTTTGCTGTTAAAAGCATGTGCTCAGTCTGAACTCCTTCAGCCCTGGAGAGATTGTGAGATCCTTCCTCTTGGAGTCCATTTCCAAAGACATAACTGATAAGGAGGCAAATCAGGAACAGTTAATATAGATTTGCCAATCAACTGACCAACCTGACTGCCAAGACAGCTGTGGCTGAAGGGTGTAATACACCTCAGCTTACTGAAGCTTTTGACACCATTTACATCAGCACTCTCCTCTGGAAACTGAGGAAACGTGGGTTTGATGGCTGCTAAACAGGCTGAAAACTAGACGGACCACTGGGATCAAAGACAGCATCAACCAATGCCTTGACAGGTAGTTATGAGACAAGGGCTACAGCTACAGGGGCTAATATTATCCAGGGTCTTCATCAGGGGCCTCCATGAAGACACTGAAGACACTCCCAGCAAGCCTGTGATGAGTGCTACGTTTTGGGGATAGGGTGGAGTGGAAGAGTTGACAGAGCCAACAGGCAAAGCTTGACTTCAGAGAGGCCTGAACAAAAACCGTTACAGAGCAAAAGCTAAAGATGGAATAAGCCACAACAGCCCATCTATATTGAAAATGGATTAAAGCCAATTCCAAAGACTCAGAAGAGACACTGCAAGATACCCTATCCACCCGTTTTATACAGACCCTCCTTCTTGTCATTTGGAAGATTAGCCTTCTGTTCTTGGTTTTCCTCTTTCTTTGTGTCCACACTAGTTTCAGGCCCTACAGCTCCAGGGGACACAAAGGTTGGAACAGTTGGCTGCACTGTGAAAATGGATGAAAAAAAGTAAAGCATGTGCTGCCAAACAGATGAAGTAGTAACATTGCCTAACTAACCTTTTTTTTTTTTTTGGGCTACACAGAAGATTTGCACTCAGTTTTCTTGGATCACTCATTTATGTTTCTTTCCATTTCTCCTTAAGTGTCTCATTTTCTAAAGTGTGCCCTTACAGAATCTAGGATCATGTGGCATCTAGTCCTAATTGTTAAATTAGGTAACTGCAAATGGAGTGAAAAATAAAATCACAGTTGCTGAAAAAGGAAAAAAAAAAAAAAATATTACCTCTATCTGAAGGTCTTTCTTGAGAAATAGCAAAAGAAGGTTTCCTTCTAAGTAAAGTAAGGCGTACAGTCTGTCCTGTATTACGTAAAGCCTCTACCACTTCTTGGTTGGTATAATCCTGTATATTAACTCCATCCACCTAAGAGAAGAAAACCATATCATATAACAGTAACCACATTACATTCTTAGGCTGTATCATACACTGTAAGCAACATCCACATTATTTTGTTCAGAAATCATAGGGTTATTCACCCAAGACAGTCGCATTTGCAGAACAATCTCATTCAATCAGTTACATTTCACTAATTAGATAATATTTTCAAAATGCATTTTAAAAGGAAACACAACAGTAATTTCTTCTGTCTTCATGAGGCAACCACAAAACAGAACTTACTAATCTGATAGAAGTATGCACAGATTTCCCTCTACAGATTTTTTTTTTGCTTACAAAATCCAGCTTGAGGAGTACTGTGGATGAAGCTTCCCAGCAAGAGTAGTCATCCTAGAACTCTGCTCAGTTCATTATCACTGTTAGTTTTCTCAAAAAATTCTAACACGTCTCAGACAAGTTTGTATCACGTCTACACATGTTTGTATCATCCACTCTGAACAGCCCAATTCTTACATTAATTCACACCCAAAATACTCTTATTCACCTCACTGTTAGATTATGCATCAATAGGGGCTTCTCCTGCAAAGCTGCAGATAAAGCACAAGGCTGTATCAATTTTTGCTCTCACAAAGGAGAAGCTGATTTTGGAAGGTCTGACACAGCACACAATTTTAAAGTAATTTAAAGTCATATAAATATTATCTCTTAAAATAAAAAGAC